AACCCCCGCACTCTCATGGCCCAAGTGCCCAGACCTCCGAGATGCCGCATGGGCTTCCGTGCTTCCACGCGTTGACGCTCAAGGCTTGCGCATGGACAATCAGCCTAGGTCTTGGGGGTGGTTTAGGGATTCGGCTTTGGTCTGTCGCCCACGGGGTCGGCTGCCTGAGCCGGAGGCTCTTAAATAATTATGAGTATAGTTACCTTATTTGTAACCGTAGATACAACCGTCCCATGATCCATGCAGTGGTGTCTGGCAGGAAGTAAGATGCAGCACGCGGAATCTGCTTCGGATGTGCTTTGGCTGTTCGGTTGCTCGGGGCGTTGAAGAAGATTTTCGTCTAAACCTCACACCCCCTAGACCCCTATGTAAACAGACGAGCCCCTCAACTCCAGACAAGCCCTGCAGCCCGGGACCCATCAGAAGCCCTGTCGACCACTAAATTCCAGGCCTTCAGGGTGAAACCTGGCAACAGCACATCGGGTGCATTTCTGCCATGCCACGGCTTCGGGGAGACCTTCCACGGCCTTCTTGATCTCTTCCCACCTTAGGCTTGGGGCCTATAGGGGGTTTAGGGTTTACAGGTTTAGGGTTTAGGGTTTAGGGTGACGCTTCTGGATCCTACTGCAATGTGAATCAAGACACGTCTCAATCTCAATTCACGAGCCCTAAAATCCTTAAATGCAGAAAGACGAGTGCTGAAGGTTGCACCATTCCCGCCGTCTTCCGGGCCTCCTATCAACAGCCCAAATGTAAGCCGCGAAGCCTAAGCCTCCTAACCCCTTTAAACACTAAAACGATAAACTCTAGCACCCTTGAACCTCGACACACCAACCCCGAACCTTGAGGAGGCCGCGCCGTGGGCAAGAAATGTACCACGATATTCCCCCCCTCCCCTTTCAGCCCCTAAAACCCAAAAAACCCTGAAAACGAAAACCAAAGCAAAGTGGCGCTTTCGTTGTCTCTGTGCCAGCCTTAGAGCAGGGGGTGGGCACTGCGGGAAAGCCGGGTTTCGGGGCTTAGGGCGTAGGGCTTCGGGCTGTGGGGCTACAGTTCGGGCTTGCGGCTCGGGGCTTTGAGATTTTATTTGTTGGCGCGAAGGTCCAGGATCTCGCCCTGTAAGGTTGGCCCAGACGCCCAAAAAACACTGGTTGCATGTCCTGAATATGGTCAGCCATCCCATCCTGCACAAATAACTCCCTGCAGATTCGTGACCGACGAACGGCAGTCGCAGAGACTTCAAGCCGAGGTGCCATACAGCAGAGTCGAATGACGGCACGGTGCCTCGCGACTGCATTCAACGTGTGCGTAAGACTCCACAAATCACGAAACGCAGCAAGTCCGAATGACCTGAATCCCCAGCGGCACAAAGTAATGTCCTATGGTAGCAACAACGGACATACCGTCCTGGCGATACAAGGAACCGACATGATGATGGCAGCAGCAGAAACTTTAGTGATGATAGTAACAACATGGTCGTCGTTATTAACAGCACCACGGGCAGCAGTCGTAAGAAAAGTCATCGTCTCGATAACAACGCAAAGAAACAACAGTGCCACGAACGAAAGTCTTCATGATCCATCATAACGATTTTAACAGCGATGATACTACAAGGATACACTAACTCACCAACCCTAAACCCTAAAACCCTAAACCCCTAAACCCTAAACCCTAAACCCCTAAACCCTAAACCCTAAACCCTAAACCCTAAACCCTAGACCTTAAACCACTAACCAATACGTGGCATCGAGGAGCCGAAAGTCGTCTCGCACCAAGCGCCATTGGTGACACTCGGCCCGGCGCCTCGCGGGCTTCAGAGCTTCTGGGGTTTAGGGTTAAGGGTTTAAGGTTTAGGGTTTAGGGAGTAGGGTTTAAGGTTTAGGGTTTAAGGTTTGGGTTTAGGGTTTAAGGTTTAGGGTTTAGGGTTTAGGGTTTAAGGTTTAGGGTTTAGGGTTCATGGGGCCGGAGATTCCAGGGTTTAGGATTGTTGCTCACTGGTCCACTATCCAGGGGATGAACAATTTTAAACTCTTGGATTATATTGAGACATGATAATACCCCCAAGAAGGTTAAAGGTTGCCTACTCTACTACTGAGGTTGGGAGTAGGGCAGTACAGAGACCTTTGTTTGGGACGTTCAGAGAGCGACGGACTTAGATCCAGGGGCGTGTGTTAGGAAAGGTCCGGGACGGCTTCGCCCAGCGTCAGCTGCTTCGGGCCTCCCTTGGCCGTCTGATAAAGCTCGGGGTGATGTCATCAGTTTTTTCATCCTCACTACCTCCATCAAAAGAAGATCCCCTTCATCAGCAGTCAGCAGAGTTTGCTTCGAGTTCTGTGCTGTCGAAAGCTATGCCTAAGCCCGAGTACCTGCAACCCTGAAAGACCCGGCGCCCTAAGGCGTCAAACTTCTCAAAGCCCTCAACCCCAAATCCACGACCCCTCAAAGCTCGCTACACCAAGACCCCAAACATCCCCAAACTACAGAAGTCCAGGAGGTTTGCTAAGCTTCGAACCTAAGGTAGAGCTCGTACGCGCGGGAGGCAGAATGCTTCTCGATGTTCGGCGCAGAGGCGCTCACGATCCTGTGGCTTCGTATTTGGGGTGCATTCCCTGTCCAGTCTTTCGGGTTTGAGGTTCCCCTTCTTGATGAATGTCCCTCGAACTCAAACCCTGGACTGCGTGCCTGGAAGGACAACATGGAAGGACCACACTCCGCCTAACTCTGAAGCACACGGCCTGAAGCCCTCAACCCTACGTCCCTACGCTTCTTCTGAAGCCTAGGCTTGCAGACCAGCGGCCTCACCACGTCGGCGACCTCGGGCGCAACCTTCGGATCGTTACGCGCCGGGCAGGTGGATCCCTCCAAGGGTTCAGGAGGGTCTGTAGCTACTACTACTACTACTACTACTACTACTACTACTACTACTACTACTTACTGCCACTGCTACTGCTGTCATGATAATTTGTAAATGTTATGATCATTATTCGTAGTTGTAGTAGTGGTGGTAGTAGTAGTTGTTGTTGTCCTAGTAGTAGTCTTAGTAGTAGTCTTAGTAGTAGTCTTAGTAGTAGTAGTAGTAGTAGTAGTAGTAGTAGGAGGAGTAGCAGGACGAGGAGGAGGAGTGGTACTGGTAGAGGTAGTGGTCGTAGATGCTGTTTCAATGGTAGCAGCAGTATGTCATTGTT